TATATACATATATATTAGGGATGTGCGCACCGACTAATTTGACTGTCGTTTAAATGAAAGTTTTGTATCCGACTAGTCTAAAAGCAAGAAACCCCCAAAAAAAACCTCTGTGCGTGCGTGCGTGTAGCATATATTATAGCCTATATTTGAAATACTTAATCTATGAATCACACTGTCAAATCCCTCAATGAATTCCGCTTGCCGCACACTTGCCTCGCGTTATCATCATTTCATTTTAGGCGGTCGTTAAAAAGAAAAAAAAAAGAAGAGCATACACTCAACGTCGGTCAAAGCATAACTTATTTATTAAAATCAGCTGGTAGAACAATGGAAAATCAATCAATAGCCTGACAGAATTCTTCATCTTCATATAACGTTAGCCAACATATTAAAACACAAGTCAAAAACAATAGCAAGGTTTATCAAGAAATAGCATTAAAACGACTTTTAACAGTGTTGTTCAATACAATCATGTAATTTCTTGGTTCTGCTATTTTATTTGAGCCAATTATTATTGCTTCATTGTTAGTTTATATATAAATAGTCATACTAAAGCCTGGTTTTCACTTAGGTCTATTTGTGTTACTAAAAATGATCAGATTACTCAATTGTCAAAATAATCAGTAGATTACTTGATTACCAAAATAATCATTAGTGACAGCCCTAGATTAGTTAAAATATTTCAAAATACAACTGCATTGTATACATTGTGTACAAATATTGTGTCATTGAAAATTTCTTAAAAATAGTATTAAAATATGGTCTCGTTCTATTGAACCAAGTATCTGCATTTTGTCTCACCTTGTGAGCTAAGTGTATTGTCACACCCCAAGTGTCGATAAGCAGTGACATAGCTCATAATTTTCCAAGTGTATGATATAGCTTTCATTCTTCAGGTCAATCATATATTCATGAAAAAAAAAATCAGTTTGAATAAGGAAAGCGATAACTTTGCCATAGTATCCTTTCAAATGTTAAAGAAAGGATCCCCCTGCTCTTGGAAAAACAGTTCAGGCTCAGGAATTTTTTTTTTTTTTTGCATTAACCCCTGCAAACTATACAGTAATTATAAGTTGTAATAGAATTTTAATATTACTATTATTGCTAAATAAAAATATGCAAATTACCAAATTTAAACAATATAAGGAAAATTGCTTTTCCAATATTTTGCTGTAAAATAATAAAAACTTTTAAGAATCACCTTGTGAGCTAAGTGTATTGTCACACCCCTAGTGTCGATAAGCAATGACATAGCTCATAATTTTCCAAGTGTATGATATAGCTTTCATTCTTCAGGTCAATCATATATTCATGAAAAAAAAAATCAGTTTGAATAAGGAAAGCGATAACTTTGCCATAGTATCCTTTCAAATGTTAAAGAAAGGATCCCCCTGCTCTTGGAAAAACAGTTCAGGCTCAGGAATTTTTTTTTTTTTTTTTGCTTTAACCCCTGCAAACTATACAGTAATTATAAGTTGTAATAGAATTTTAATATTACTATTATTGCTAAATAAAAATATGCAAATTACCAAATTTAAACAATATAAGGAAAATTGCTTTTCCAATATTTTGCTGTAAAATAATAAAAACTTTTAAGAAAAATATTATTATATAAAAATATATTTTGATTAATCATGTAGAATGAATGGTGTCTTATGGAAATTAAAGTTAAATACATTTTTAAAAGGTATAATAAAATTGATGTGACAAGACTTATTATGCACATCTCGATATTTAATATCTCAAAATGCCCAAAACTCAGCTTATTAATATCAGCCTAAACAATTTATCAGACTTTTTAAAATAATTTTTCAGACTGGTTTATTAAAGTCAAAGAAATATAAAAAGAAACATTTCCAATGCCCTGTAAGAAGCACAACATAAATTTCTAAGTTCTGACAAAACAAACCAAAGAATAAAGAGTATGTGTGAGATTTTTGTAGGAGAGGTAGAGTTGGTCTGTTAAACAGGTGTGTGTGTGTGTGTGTGTATGTGTGTGTTTGTGTGTATGTGTTAGGGTTGTGACGGTGAG